GCACGCGGGTGTAATCCCTGGCGGCGTCCTCGCTGACCCGATCCCCAGCTCCGTCGCCAGCGGGCGGCTGCCACTGCGACGGCTGCGCTGGGGGTAGTCGCGCCGACCCCGCTTCTGGGGCCGCCTGTGCCGTGGCGGGCACTGGAGCCGCCGCCGCAGCCGCCATGGGTGGCATAGGAGCACTGCACGGTACCGCGCACCTCATTGCAACTGCGCTCTCCGCCACGGACCTCCTGGAGCGCATCCTTTCTGCCCTCTTCGGGCCCAAACTCATGCTGGCCGACACCGGCGCCGGCATGCTGGCCGGCATCATCATGTCGCACAAGTCGTCCATCACCACGCCGCGGTCCACAAGTGGAGCCTCGAAGCGCGCCGCCAGGGTCCTCTCCTGGAGCTCCTCCTTCTTCTCGTCCTCGATGACTGCCATCATGGCCTTGACGTTCTCCCGGACCGCCGACAGGCGCTGCGAGGCCGTGGCGCCGCCCACCGGCTCGCCGCGGGCCGCCTCGGCGGCCCAGGCCGGCGCGGAGGTCGAGGCGTCGCCGGGGGCCTGGGCCCGCGCGGAGGTCGAGGCGTCGAAGGAGAGCAGGTCGCTGGGAATCTGATACTTGATGAAGAGCTGCATCAAGTCCTGCGTCAGCTTTATCTCCTTCGCGAGGCTGTCCTCCGAGAGGTTCAGCACCTTCTCGAGCTGCGGCCTGATCTGAATCACGAGGGCGCCGAAGAGCGTGCTTTCCAGCTGCATGGCGCGGAAAGCCTTGGCGAAGCGCTGCTGCTCTGGCGACAACGACTCGATAGCGTCCCTGAACTCCTTGGGCGTCGGGATCGTGGACAGTTCTAGGGGTATACTGAGCTCGTCCTTGTTCTGAACAATGGCCGCGCATTTCGGCTCGAAGACGCTTGCCGAGACAATGCGGCCCACCATAACGATCATCGAACTGAATTGGCGTGCCTTGGAGACCAGTGCGAGCTTGGGGTTGGCGTGCCCAGTGAACTGGTGGCTGAGCCAGGCATGCAGGTAGCGGTCCCCCTTGAAGGTCACGTTGGCGGAGGCGCTGAGGGGGAACTGCATCGGGTGGGACCTCTTGCTCCGCGCGACCATGGTCACGATGGGCTCGGCAATGCTGGACTCAGCGCCTGGGTCGCGAGGCTCCTGCTCGATGCTCACGGTGCCCTCGGGCGAGTGACCCTCGGAGCGGCGCACCGCGAAGCAAAACGGCGATGGGGCGTACGGTGCAGCGAAGAGCCGACGGCAGTGGAACCTCATGTAATCCGCGAAGGCAGCTGGCGTCACCTCCTTGCCGATGGCAGCGACGAGCTGACTCCGAAGCATGCTCTCGATGTAGTCCATGGCGGCTGCCAACTGACTGCAGACCGAGGCGCAGTGCGCCAGCGTGGCCGCAGGCCTCGCCTCGGCGGCGGTGGCGAGGCGTCCGCCGTCGGCGCTGGGGAGGGCCTCCGCCAGCGCGGCGGACTTCTGCCGCAGGGCCCGCGCCTCCTCCTCGAGCAAGAGGTTCATGTCGGAGAGGCCCAAGAGCGCGCTGCCCGCGAGGCCCTCCGTGGCAGGGGCCAACGGTGGCGACGAGGCCCGCGGTCCCTGCCGGAGCCGGGGCTGCGCGGTCGTCGGCTGCCACGCTGCCACCCTCGCCCCCGTGTCGCTCCTGCAGCAGGGGGAGCACGGGTATCGGTGGCTGGTCGCGGCCGATGGCGCCCCTGTCCCAGGAAGCCTTGTCCAGCGGGAGGTCAAAGAGGCGCTGCAGGTACGCCGCAACGTTGCGCGCCCACGCCGCCACGCGCGAGAAATGCTCCAGGGCATCCCCGACGTCGTTGTTGCGACGTGGCGTGTGGCACTTACCATGCACGCGGTCGATGCTGAAGCAGGGCGTGGCAGAGTCTGAGAGGTGCAGCACCAACCAGCTGACATTAACGCTGAGCTTGGGATGCGACAACATCTCTGGACGAGGAGCCGACTTCGATGTCGTCTTTAACTCCTCGCTGCCCGCTCGGGCAAAGAGTTGCAACCGGTCGTCGGCCGCAGCCCCCGCGCCTCGCACGGCTACCAAGCTGTAGGAGACCGAAACGGTCCAGAAGTACTCCGTGACTGTGGTGACAACCTTGCTGGTCAGCGCGCTTCGGACCGAGCCCATGACGGACACCTCATCCACAACCTTCGTCGCACTCGCCACCTCTCGGGTGCCCTCCCGGGCAAAACCGCAGCGCTCTTCGGCGGTGAACTCCAGGAAAAAACGGCCTGCGATGCCGCCCAGGCACGAAGCCGCGAGAGCCTCTCGGCATCGAGGCCCAGCGTTGACAGGCAATTCACCTGGGAGGCCATCGCAGCGCGCGTCATGAACTCGGCGAGGAGGTACTTGTCGGAGTACTGGTGGTGTGCATCCGAGGCGAAGCAGGGGCACCTTGCCGCGTCGAGCACCGCGCGCACCCGGCCCATGGCTTTGTCCAGGCTGTCCTGAAAACCGGTCATCCGCAGGTCGATCGCCATGGCGGGGGACGGAAAACGGCTCAGAACTAATGCTGAGCAGCGCGATTGCAACCTGAGCTTGAGCCAAAATGGCTACGGAAATGTTAGCCATTCTGAAGCCGTAGCCATTTATTGAAATGTTGGACCACCAATGGTTTTCTTATGAATTCGCAAGAGCGCGCGCATGTTTGTTTTTCTTCTTGTTTGTTTGATCCGTGTTGCGAAACCATGTGTTTGAAATGCTTGTTGGACGCTCGATTTTGACAGCCTCACGAAACCCAAAGTTTTGGAAAGATTTGGCATGCGCGCGCGACGACGCGCGCGTGCGCACTTCGCCCCATTTTTCGCAAGGGGTCTTGAACATTTATGATTTTTGATCAACGAATGCGCGCGCATTTGATTTTTGGCAGAGGATGGCGGGGGGGGGCGATACAGGCCTACCTGGGATAATCTGAACTCAAAGGCAGGATGGGCATTGGGTCAAAAGCCGATGCGTTTTGCATCGTTTCCCGGGGGGTCTTCAACCCAAAGGGGGGAGGCCGGTAGAACCTGTCTTTCGTAAAAACAGAGAATTCGCCGGCCCAACGGGCCAGAGGCGTGCTAAGATCTCCGGTAACTATTTAACATTTCTAATTCGCGCGCGCGGGGCGGCCCCTGGGGGGCCCCGGACGAAAAGTACCCCGGCCGATCCCCGGCTGAACCCCCCGGCGATCCCCATGGGGGGGGCTATTTTTCGCCACCCCTCACGAGGATCGTGGCCTCCGAGGGGGGGCCGCAATCGACTACCCCCCCTCCCGCCCCAAGGGGCCCCCAAGAGCCCCCCAAGAGGCCCCAGGGGAGCCCAATGCGCCGCCAAGGAGCCCCAAGACGCTCCCAAGAAACCCCCAAGAGGCCCCAAATAGCGCTCCAGGGCCGGCAGATTGAGCGAAGCGATCAAATAATTTGTTTGCTCGCAGCGAGTTGCCCGCTCCACCGCTCGCGCAACCATCCCGCCCGCCCGCGCGCAATTTAGTTTGCACAGCCCATGCGGCGGCGGTCGCGATAGGTGTTTGGAATTGGCTCGCGCATCTCTGCGGCCGCGCTGGCCCGCGCATGCTGGCGTGCGCGGCGGCCAGATCGATTGGCGCGACCGACGCGGCCTCGGTGGCGCTGACCGCCGGGCATTTCCCAGTGGGCACTTCAGTGCGAGTCGGCGACGCGGGCGGGCGCGGCACCATGGGAACGTCGACAACGGTACACGCGATGATGATTGTAGCGATGCCGGGGGCGACGGTGACAACGGCGACGGCAAGGCCAGCGACGGCGCCGAAGCTGATCGCGCCGACGGCGATGACGGCGCCCTCGCGTCAGCGGTGAAGGTTGTGGAAAAGGGGTTCGGCACACGCGCGCGGCCGACGCGCGAGAGTAGCCCGCGTGGAATTATGCGACGCGGATCGCGCCCCTCCCCCAGCGCGCGCGCAAAGGTGCTCGAATGGTTTCGACGCGCGGCGCGTGGGGCCCGTTTGGCAGACTTGAATAACGTTTTGAAGAGCCCATGGTTTTCCAAAGAATTCGCAGGAGGGCGAACACACGCATTTCTGAAAACTGACGTTGCTAAGCCATGTGTTGTATATGTGTTTGGGGCGCTCGGTGTTGAAATCCCTGCGAAACGCTTGGTTTTTGAAAAATTCCAGCACGCGCGCGCGACGACGCGCGAGCGTGCACGTCGCTCAAGCTGTTGCAAGGGATCCTTGCGACAGCACGCGCGCGAAGGCGCTCGAGCGTTTCCAACGCGCGCGCGGTAGGACGTTTATATATATATATATATATATGTATATATATATAGAGAGAGAAACACATATACCTATATTTATATATACGTATGTATTTATACACATATACCTATATATATATATGTGTGTGTGTGCTCTTGTGAACTCGCCGGAACGCGGGCGCAAGCTTTTTGACAGAAAATACGCGTTACGAAGACATGTTGTTTTGCCAGAAACTGTTCTGAAAGGTTCTGGTATTTCGCCCCGTTTGTTGCAAGGGGTTCTTGAGAACTGCTGATGTTTCATACACGAGCGCGCGCGTATTTTCTCCCGGGGATGAAGGGGGGATGCTGGTCTAATGGGGATGGTATGCACTCATTTTTAGGATGGGCGACGGGGCAGAGTCTCTGCAAGTGGCAATGCGAAAAGGGGGTTCACCAAGTCCGAGGGGGGGGCCGGGGGGGGAGGGTCGATCCTAATACTGGTTTAGACTGGTGAATCTACGTGGCGCAGTTCACCTTGCCGAGCGTGAAATTGCAAACCCCACTGCTCGCGCAAACATCCCACCCGCCCAAACGCAACTTGGTTTGCAAAACCATGCGATGAGTGCTTGGGATTGGCTGGTGCATCTACGCAACCGCGCTAGCCAGCGCGCGCTCGCGCGCGCGGCGACCAGCTAGCGCGGCGCGACCGACGGGGCCGCGGTGGCGCTGACCGCTGTGCACTTCCAGCGGGCACTCCAGTGCGCGTCGTTGACTTGGGCGGGCGCGGTATCATGGCGACGCCGACATCGTTAGACACGATGATGAGAGTAGCGATGATGGTGGCGATGGTAGCGATAACGACGGCAGGGCCAATGGAGGCGCCGATGTCGATCACGCCCACCGATAACGATGGCGATGTCCTCGCGTCGACGATGAAGGTTTTGCAAAGAGTGCGACATGCACGCGCGGCCGGCGCGCGCGAGTGGCCCGCGCGGTATTATTTGATACGGATCGTGCCCCCCAGCACGCGCGCAAGGGCGCCCGGATGAGTTCGACATGCGGCGCGAGAGGGGCCCGCTTGACAGAAGTTGATGGCAATGCTGACAACCTATGGTTTTCCAAAGAACTCGCCAGAACGCGCGCGCAAATGTGTTTTTGGGGAAGGTGGAATTGCAAAACGAAGTCTGTTTTATATGCTGTCGGGACACTAGTTTTTGAAACACGTACGAAACGCAACATTGCTGAAGGACTTCGGCTTGTGCGCGCGACGACGCGCGCGCGCGCACTTCGTCCCATCTGTCGCAAGATAACCTTGCGACAGCACGCGCGCAAAGCCATTCAAGCGATTTCGACATGCGCGCACGAAAGGCCCGTTTGGTAGCATTCTGCGGAAACGTTGAAAAACCTATGGTTTCTTAAGAATTCGCAAGAGCGCGGGCGCAGGCTTTTCTTGAAAACCATTGTTGCGACACCATGTGCTTCATATGTATTCGGAACACTCGATTTTGAAGGACTTCGGCATGCGCGCGCGACGACGCGCGCGTGTGAACTTCGTTTTGAAAGCTGCTGAGTTTTGATAAACGAGTGCGCGCGCATACAACTGTTTGCAAAGGACGAGGTGTGTGGGTGGGGGGGGGGGGGGGCGAACTCCGGCTTTGGCTGGGATGGTACGAGTGCGTACGTAGGATGGACGATGGGACAGAACCATGTGTAAATTGCACGACCCCTGGGGGTATTGGTGAATCAAGCCTAGGGAGGGTGGTGGATCCGATTGTTTTGTTGGCAAGGAGAATCTACGTAGCGTAATCGAATATATGCGGTGCAGTCTATACGAAGCAGCGGCGAGGCAGCGACGGCGAGCACGTATCCGCCAGACTGGCACGCAGGCCCAGACGACGGGCGGCGACGAGGCGGCGACGGGGCGGCGACGGCGGCCATATAGCCGCCAGACCGAAGACACGGCCCAGACGACGGGCGGCGACGGCGGCAACATAGCCGCCAGACCGAAGACACGGCCCAGTTCTTTGGAACATAAACGAGAACCCCTAAGTGCAAGCACTGATTGGAGGATACAAGATCTCGAAACGCTGCCCCTCCTCCTCCTCCTACTCATCCCCCCCTCTTCCTCCTCCCCCCCCCACCACTCCTCCGCCCTCCTCCTCCTCCTCCTCCTCCTCCTCCTCCTCCTCCTCCTCCTCCTCCTCCTCCTCCTCCTCCGCATCCTCCTCCTCCTCCTCCTGATCCTCCTCCTCCTCCTGCTCCTCCTCCTCCTCCTCCTCCTCCTCCTCCTCCTTCTGCTCCTCCGCCCGCGGCAGGGCGCGGCGCACCGCTTTGAGCGCCGCGAAGCCGTTCGGGAGGTCGGCGAACTTGATCTCCTGCCGGAGATCTCCCACGGTCTGTGTCTTTAAAGGGGCCCTGGGACACACAAATAAATACACACAAATAAAACAATGTTCCACATGTTCCATCTGTTCTGGGTTTTTGTTCCCCCCCCCACTTCCCATGTTTTCCTATATTCTCTGGGAATCGACGAATAATTGTGTCTGTGTGTGTTTTTCCCCTCCTGAGTTTTGTTCCATCACGGCGCCTTCCCCTCAAGTACACTGCTGTTCTCAGGGCCAGTGCTTACGGTTCGGGTGCGCGCTGCATTGATGCTTCCCCTCACCATGCACTGCGAACTACGACTCTGGTTGCTACATGCCTGCTTCGCCTCCATCGCGGCGTCTTTCCCTAGTTTCGGCCTCGTGGGTTCTCTATGGGTCCCCGAGACCATCAGACAGACATCTGGGGTGAAAGCATTTCGACAGGGACGGGGTCGGGAGTTCTGGGGCCGCGGAGAAACATCATGTCGAAGGATTGTCTGGAAACGCCCAGAATCAAGAACCTCGGATCTTCTAGGCGTGCTGGGCTCGGGGACCTCCGAAGCCTCCAGAGGTCTCTGGGGGGCCTCCAGAGATTTGATCTCCTGCGGATGTTCGAGGATCGGGGCATACGAAAGGGGGGTAGCAAAGGAATGAATGGCGAATCAGCTGTATGCAGCTGGCCTGTCGTGCGCCCCCCCCCCGCGCCAGAAGCGGCCGCTTATCGACTATGGCCTGCAGTGGATGTCGTAATCCGTTCGCCCTGAAAAGAGTGGAGGGCTGTGGCCAGGGGGTTCTGCGCTGGATTGGCCCCGAGAAAATCAGTCAAGAGGGGCAAACTCGGTCCCCAGACCCCTCCTGGGGTCGAAAGTGGCAAGTTTTCCCTTCGCGCCCAGCCGTGGCGACGAGGGGGCCCTATTCTTCCC